TTCTCTTTATCAGTTCGATGAACACGTCTTTTCTCTCGTTCATGACGATTCCGACGCTTTCGGCGATCATCAGTAGAAGTGGATGATGAAGTTGAGCTCGTGGATCGATTTCGGCTTCTAATTGAAGATCTATTACAATGTTTCAACGAATGGTTTTCGTAAAAAGGACACTACAGCTCAAGGCTTGAAAAGTCTTGGAGCAGATAATAAATTTTTAGCACAACAGCCTCGATAGAAGACCAATATGAGACTAACCAGATTTGCTTAGAGTGTGGACCATTGAAAACTAGTTTGCACAGCATAGTATGCTACTAAATCCTTTTTAAATGAACAAAATGCCAAAGTTGATGGAAAAAGAACCTGGCTCTCTTTCGTGGCCTTTCACGTTCACGATCCTTTCTGTGCAGAAAAGCATCCCAAGCATCCATGATTTGAGGCTGAGGAGCACCAAGATTCATAGTAGGCGGAGGTTGGTTGTATCTGAATAACGGGAGATAACTTAGTAAAAAGCGAAAATTCTAAAAAGCTTACAAATATGACGAATTTGTTGGTACAAGTAATTGATGCTGCATTGGTAGGCCCACGCCAGGGATTGGTGGTAGGCTATTGGCTGTTTGTATAGCTAGAAAATATGAGTAAACAACAGTCAACTCAAAGCTATCAAAGCTATTCACTTGTGAGGGGTAATGTAAGCGGTTGCGGTGGAAGAGTTGATGTTCCAGGAGGAAGAAGTGTATCGCCTGACGAGGATGAACTAGCTACAGCTGTTGGTACCATAGTTGGAGGTGGCTGCGAGAATGAGGAGGGGACCTGGGAACTTGTGAAATTGCCCCGAACATTAAGGCGTATATAGAACCTTACCGGAACGGAAACCGCTGGCTGAGTGGAGAAAGGAGTTGGAGAGGCTTGAGCCTGAACAGGCTCTTGAGGAGGAACCGCAACTACGGGTGCAGTAGCAACTGCGGATTGTTGAGATACGCCCGGAGATGATGACTGTGGTGGAGTGGATGCCGCTGAGACCGGCATCGACGGTTGAAGCCCTATTCTTAATTTGAACCAATGACAATGTCCCTTGTAAAAGATAATAGAAAAGGTATGAATTAACCTAAATCTCATATGTTCTTGATCTGGATTTCCTGAGCCAGGACCCCCCATCGACCATGCTACTGCTGCTCGTCGTACTGTCTTGTTAGGTACCAAGGAATCCACGGAAAGCTAGAGCAAGAAAATTTTCATTATATACCAATTTTGTGATCAAAACTTTGAAAAATCTTCTGCTAAATCTTTCACAATGGCAGCCACTTCATCCTTTTAACATATGAAACAAACTTTGACTTTATTCTAGGAGATTTCTGTGAACAACCAATTGCCATCTAGAAGAAAACAAAGTGTTTCGAAACTCCAAAGGTTTTATACTCCTATTTTTGTACCACAATTTAAAGAAATTTTTAGCAACGGAAGGTATTTTCTTTGATGGATACAAATTATGATTACCTGCTTAGCGTCACAATTTTTGCCAGGACATTGACGGTCCGGAGATTCCATGATCTTATTAGATACGCAATCAGCGCAAAAGGAATTTCCACAGCAAGTTGTAAGAACAGCATCCTAAACGTCGATATGCTAATCTACCGAAAAAAGGTAACATAGAAAAAAAA